ACTACAAGTTTAATTAAACGAAAATATCGCCGTATCAGGCTCATAAATCAAACATTTTGCCGCGTTACGCTAAACAATGCAGACGTTAATAAATTTATTTGACGTTGGCCATTTTGTCCGTCGTTTTTTAGTGCCGCCGCGGTCGCTCCGGGCTCCGGGAATGCCGGAGGAACTTGGAGGTTTGTTAAAAAATTTTGTATTCCGGATGGTTTGCACATCAGTGTCTGGCAAAAAATTGCTCACAAAACATAGTTATGCAAATGCCTGTTGCCTTTAAATGTATTGGACGCACTTTTTTCCACTCGCAGCTTATTCCTATACTATAGTAATATATTCAGAAATAATGAAAAATAACTTAATCAAACGTGAAAGAAATGAAAATTGGAAAAGCCATCTTATTTACTTAAAAGAAAGCAAATTTAAGTACTAACCATAAATAATATGAGGTTGTGTTGCAACTCACTGGTAATATAAATGTTACCACATTGATTAAAATAACTAGTTTATATATCTTTTAATATATAAAATTAAAGTGTAAAAGTATATTATGGAACAAGTTTAATAAAGGGAATTTTAGTCACGAGTTTTAATTAGACATGAGCGTAGCTTGCTTTTTCTACAAAGCAAAAATTTAATATTTTTCAAAAATAAATAAAAGGTCATACCTATCATACGATTCTAACCTTACTTAAGATGATTTAAGTCGCTAACTTTAGCCCGTGACTAAAAAGTCCGCAAGTCATTGTTGCTATCTTCAGCCTGTGACTTAATAGACATAACGTTTTTTTTTAAAGGTGGGAGTAAAAATATTATATAATAAATTTATTTTTTAATGCTATTTTTGTTTAATTTTAGACAACAAATTTAAAACAAAATATTTCCAATTTGCCAATTAGGTTCTAGGCAAAGTTCCTATTGTTATTGTTATCAATTGTGATTTAATGAGGTTTATCGCTCTAATTTAATTCTAATTATAACTATAGTTATTTATGTGTTTTTATTAACATTCGTATAAAAGTGCTAAAAAAATCAGATGTGTTATTTAACAAAACAAAAACTATCTAAAGTCAAATAGTTTCATTGCGACGTAATTTATAATATTCAAATATTCGTACATTGTTATGCTAAAAAACTAAGTTTAAGAATAAACACAAAAGAGTTAAAAAGAGATAAAAAGTTCAAATGTCGCACCCGTTACATTTTGACAAAATTTTAGAAAATAAAGTATACAATATGTTTGCATTTAAAATACGTGCTTGTTTGGGGTTACTATTTAAGTTTTACACAAAAAATTATTACTATAAGCTTTCATTCAAAATTTTACAGGAAGCCAACCCATTTGCCGAATTTCTAATCTCGCCCCCGTTACGCGATTTATGACGTTATAAAAGGGTTTCTATACAAGTTTTTCTTGAAATTTTGTTTGAGTTAAATATCTAATTTTTTATACTATCATGAAAAACGTAGTGTCTGTGTCGCACAGGTTACAATGGTAATACCCAAAAGAGAAAAAATATTGTAATTTTAGTACTATCTTAAATTTAGCAGTGGAAAATGTGTTTTTACATATTTAGCCCAACTTAAAAAAATGCATATTTTTTCTAAATTTAACTTTATATATGTCACGGCTAATGTGCAAACTTGGATAGTTTATAAACTAGCTGGATAGTTTATAAACTAGCCAAACTGTCAGCTATTTTAATTGAAAACATATTTTCAACTAAATTAGCGGCTAGTTTACAAAATAACCAAGGATCTTGGCTAATTTACTTGAAATTATTAGGGAATCTAAAATAGCTGGATAGTTTGTATACTATCCAATTCAATTTGGCTAATATGAAAACCAAAATTTCTAGTAACACAAAATAGCCAAGCTTTAGCTAGTTTGTAAACGAACCAACTAATTCTCTGGCTATTGCCCATTTTAGTTGGGTTTTTTGCTCAATGGGGCGGGGGGCCCAATGGGGCGGGGTCGGTTGGGTTGTGTTGTTGAGTTTGGGTTGGTTTGGGTTTTTTTCTCTCATTTTTGACCATTTGACCTATTTGGCGGGGGGGGGGCAATGGGGCGGGGTCGGTAGGGTTTTGTTGTTGAGTTTTCTAACAAGGAAGCGTTAAAATTTTGCCTATGATTCATTTTAAAAACGTTAAAATGCACAAAATAAATCCGGTTAGGCCGGCAAAACGAAAAACAATGCCGTAACCTCACTTTTTTAATAAATTAGCCAGAGAATTGGTTGGTTAGTTTACAAACTAGCTAAAGCTTGGCTATTTTGTGTTACTAGAAATTTTGGTTTTCATATTAGCCAAACTGAATTGGATAGTATACAAACTATCCAGCTATTTTAGTTTCCCTAATAATTTCAAGTAAATTAGCCAAGATCCTTGGTTATTTTGTAAACTAGCCGCTAATTTAGTTGAAAATATGTTTTCAACTAAAATAGCTGACAGTTTGGCTAGTTTATAAACTATCCAGCTAGTTTAACTATCCAAGTTTGCACATTAGCCGTAACATATACACTAAAACTAATTGAGTATTGCTCGGATTATAAGAGTTAAAGAAAAATAATCATCCGCTTGGTGGTTTGCTTCTCTGGCTTTACATTCGATTTCAATTAAAAATTATCTTTTCTGACGAAGTTCATTTTCATATAGCGATTTGTCACCGTTGAACCATTTTTTTGTGGGGATGTATTAACGAACATTGTTACACAAACAATTGACGCACTGAAGAAAAACCTTCGTCAAGCTATTCGTCAAATAGAGCCGCAAACAATAGAAAATGCACTGCAAAATTGTGTGAAAAAGGTGGACTAAGCTGGCCACGGCAGTCATTTAACTGAAACTGTTTTTCATAATTGAAAGTTGTACTATCTTGAATAACCAATAATCATTTAAAAATACTCAACGGTGTAGTTTTAATAGCAATTTTTAAAAGAAAACATCAGATGGTACATTTATATTAAGTTATTATTGGCTTAAACGTACGTATTTTTGTATATTTTTATTTTTATGCGTTTTACTTAAAGCAACACCTTTAATTGATGAATTGTACGCTTTTTCTCTAAGGTGATAATATTGCGTGACGAAGTTAAACATTATTATAGCAACGCTTTGTAAATGACGTTTTATGGACAGATGGTTTGGGTTGTAATTCATTCAGTACCTTTTCTGTTTATTTAAATTGTACAATTAAAATATTTGTTTTTTATAAGAAAACTTGGGTAATAGTAGTAATAGCAGCATTAGTAATTAATACGATTTATACAAAAATCATAAATTTAAGTTACTGCCAAACAAAGATAATATATTATACACCCCATAGATTGGAAACTCTCCCATCACTGCCCTCTAGAGCTACAATACCTAAACTTTATCTATTTGTAAATTGCAGACATCTGTACAAACGCTATTTGCAAATGTCAATTTCAATCATAATTATTGACGGCAGTATCGCTCTAGCATAAAATACTGTTTGTTAATTATGAATTATTTAGGATTGCTTGTTTAATGGTAATTTAGTCCAGACCAAGCCCAGGCTACTAATGGATGTTTCAAAACCAATAGTTGGCAAGATGGTTTTTTCACGGTTGGTTAGAACTTGCCAAAAGTCCACACTCAGAAGCCTTGTACAAATTCCTATATGTATATGTATAAGTAGCCTGGACTTAATTACCAAATTTTGCAATATTGAAGAATTAAGACTAATATTTTTTTAGGTTTACACTCCACAAACATGTATACCGATTATGTATTTAATATGCACATATAGATGTATGTATTTTATTTTATATTATATTATTAATACAATAAATAAATCTTATATTCATACTTGTTTTATTTAAAATACAGCAGTAAATACAATATATAAAGGCACCCTACGAAGCATCAACATTCAAATATGGCGCCAATATATGTTACAGAAATCTACTTTAATTTTTGGCATTGCTAAGGGTATTTTGACATAGATGGCGTTAATTTACTTTAGCGTTTTGCCGCTAGCCCTAGTGCAGTTTCCAATCTATGGGGTGTATTATCTTTGCTGCCAACCATTTAACCAAATGTTTTTTTACCTCTTACCTGCCTATTTAGTCGATTTTGGCCTGTTTTTTTTTAAATATTAAAAATACCACGTTGACATTATTAATTGCGTCGTAGTCAAAATTATTTTTTTATAACTTTATATAACTAATTAACTTTAACAAAAAACTTTTTTACAAAGTAATGAATTCACAATGAAATATTATTAAATGTACGGCATTACACTATACAACACAACACAGTTTGAAACATTTCTATTGATTATCAAATTTGTAAAAATATTTTTCTTCAGACAAAAGTTCTTTTTAAAATTATAAAGAACTAAAATTGTAAATTATAATTTTTGATCTGGATATGTATATGTACCTATATATACGGATATATATGGATATAACTCGGCTGCTCCATTCCAAAATATAGTATCCAACATTTTTTCAGAACATGTTTTTTTATATTGTTGTATATACTGTGTTAAGACGCAACTTCCAACCCGGCAAATTTGTTGATAAAAAACACATATCAGTAATATCAAAAGAATTCGTTAAATACCCTACAGAGGCCAAATCATAGATAACAAATCAAAAAACTAGAACACGTTTTTCTCACAATTTTGTTTTTTACACATACTGTGTTTTGGAATAGAGCAAGTCAATTGTGCCAACCTAGTAACATAAAATAAAACAACTTGTTTTTTTGAATTTTATTGTCATTTCCGTATACTTATCTTATTCTTCTGAAATTAATTTATTATTAGGTCAATCTCTAGAAGATTTCCCTATCTCTAAATAAGGAAAAATGCAGTAAAATATAAAAAATGGAGATCTATCAATCTAACAAAAAACCTGATATATTTTTAATTAATATGTTATTGAATTACCTTAATACACAAATACGTGATTTTTTATTTTAGCTAATTGACTATTAATCGACCTTTGGGACCTATGTCTCCTATTAATAATTATCTAAAGTAAGCCTAAAGTATTTGACCTGTTTGTGCAAACATCCACTAGTAAATTTTTAAATATATTTAGGAATTAGCATAAATCACAAATTTATTTTTAAGTAAGACTATTACTAAAAACTTAATCACTATTGTTAGACGTTATCTTCCTTTTTGACCAGTGCGTATCCGTCGCCGTCTATAGAGGTTTTTAATTTTTTAATTTGATTTGAAAAGTGCAATTTATCTTCGAGTCTAGTTTCCATGTCCTGACCCAATAAACCCAAACACTCCGATAAAACTTTAGAACGTTCGGCAATCACGTAAGGTAGCTCCTTATCCAACACACATCGGCATTCTTGATACTTCATTAGGACTTCTTCGAATTGATGTTGGAGTTTTTTTAAGGAGCTGTTGTTAATATTCATTACCTCTAAAATAATTTTAAAGTTTTTTAGCGCCAAATGAAAGTCGCGCTTTTTCTCCTCGCATTCATATCTCAACGAATTTATATTCTCATTACTATTAAGACATACAAACAGCTTGGTCCTGACCTCTTCCAAAGTCGCTAGGTTCGGTGATTCGCAGAGAGTATTGAAGTGCTGAGTTGCATCTCCGGTAATTAAATTATCGCTTATTGCAAATGCATTAAGTGCAATCGAGAGCCGATTCATCGATTTACTTTCCAAGATTATGCACTCGACGTATTGCACTACGTGTTCCAGCACTTGCTCGAGTAGATCATAATGGTCGCACATTAACTTATGATTCTCAGCAGCTGTTGATTCGTTTATTTGGGTATTTGCCAGGGTCATTCTTAATCCTTCGAAATCACTCTCGCTAGAGTATATTTTCTTTGATATTGTTGTCTTCTTATCGATCGTTACACAATCCTCGTAGTTAGGTCTTTTGTAGTGATCTTCATTGGCCTCTTCAAGCTGCCTGATAATTTGTTGCTTCAGTAATAAATTTAGATTGCTGGGTTGGTCTCGAAAGGGTTTTTCTGTAGTCATTACTTTTTATTTTCACAAAATTTTTAATGTCAGTTTGACAAATTAATATATTTGGGTTATAGCCACCGTTGACGAATAACGTTGGGATATTAGATTAGATTTATAAGTCTTTCTTTTATTTCACTTATTTATTAAACTTTAGAAACTTGTCTAGACGAAGAAAGAATAAAGGACTTTTATTAAAAGTTTTATTTCATTTTAAGTTGTACATTTTTAATTAAATCTTAAGACTCTGTAATATTATTTCTTATTTTAGTTAATCCCAAAAATGATTTAAGATTCGACCGGAAAACACATAACTTTGGATAACACCCCTATTCTAAATAACAAATGTTTGTTTTTATGACCTTGCTAACTAAATCTATTAATAATACGCCCATGTAAGAGAGTCTGCGACAATTTTACGGCTGGATTGATTTATTATTCCTAATGATTATTTAATTTACAGAACCCTCTATTATATAAACGTTTTTGTTTAAATTCGCATTTACAAAAATCTACAATTTTTTTGAAAATAAATCAATAAATTCCATGTACCTTTCATAATAACGTACAAATATTTCAGGGTGTGATTTCTTAGGCTATTTTATGAAGATAAGTTTATATTAAGATAATATGTTCATATTAACTTTTTTATTATGTCCTCAAAGACTTAATTTTTTTGCTACAGATCTCTGCATTTTTAAGTAGTACATACAAAGTACTTTTAGGAATATTAAATACCAAAATATATTTTTTTAGAACTCTACAGCAAAAGACGTTTAGGATAGGTTTATAATATGAACTTAGTTATAAAAAATTACCCAATAAAACACCCTGAAATAGCACGTTATCAAGGAACACTCTCTAATAAAAATATAAGGCGTCTCCTTTTTTATTTTATAAATCACCTTGGTATAGTTTAAAAAAATATAAATCCACGTTTTTGTTTTTAGATTCCAATTAAATGATTTTAAATTTACATTTGTTTTCATACGCCTATACTAGTGTATTTTGTTTCTTAAAAGCTCGCTTATGAGATTTCCATAAAATATAAAATATAATAATTAGTTTTTAAGCTATTAACAATATTCTATTTTGTTTCTGGTGTTTTAAAACTAATTTTTGAAATAATCTATAAAAAATCTGTATTAACACTTCTGCAGAATTGTTAGTTTCCTTAATTTTTTTCAAAAATTCGAGCAACAAAATAAGGTGAAAAAATAAATTAATTATTACATTTTTTTTAAATCACAAAAAATCAATTTTTTTAGCACTTTTGTGTCATTTAAAGTTTCGTGCTGCCAACTTAAGAAACACAAAAATATTACAGTTTTAAACCTTAATTTTTATGGTTACTTATTAACTTTTTATGTTAGGTTTAGTTGATACTTGATACTTTTATTTGTAATTAAAAAGTTTTTTGTTAATTTAAAAACAAGGTTTTATTTTTATTAGATGGCACCGTTAAATTTACTGCAACGGCTTATTGTTATTTATTATAGTATATTATGTATCAAGTTTGATAAACGCCATTTTATACACGAATTTAATTTAGGCATGAGCGAGCTTGCGAGCAAGTGCTTAAATTAATGAGTGTATAGAAAAGTTTATAAACGAGGTGCATACTATACTTTTTCTACGACAAATACTTATTATTATCTTAAAATGATTTAATTCAAAAAATTTTATAGAGCGCCATCTATGAAACAATAGGGGAATCTGTGAGTCACCGTCAAATGTCGAATTTTTATATTTTATAAACCCAGATTATAAAGGTTATAAATCAAAATGTATTTCTTGAAAATTGACAGTTTTTCACAGTGAAAGTAAAGAAAATGTTTTATGAGCACTTTACAGTGGAGTCCGTATCCGAATTTAAGTTATAGTTTACTGCCGGCGAAATTAAAAGGTCAGTACAATGTTCATATAAACTTTTCAAATATTGGCATAGAGAAACTATTTAATACTTTTGTATTTTTTTATTGAGATAATAAAATAATTTTCACAATATTATTTTACAAGAAAGGCACTTTATTTTAATGATTTTATGACATTTGACAACTGTCAACTAAGTTAAAACTAACTTCAGCCCGTGACTAACATCCTGTTGCTAACTTCAGCCAGTGACTAAAGCGCCATAAAGCCACAACTTGTCAATGTGTATTTAAAAGGTCACTTAGTGTCATGGAAACATGTACAATAAAGGGCGTTTTAAAGGTGGGAGTAGAAAAAATTCTTTAAATTGAGATACTACCATAATATCAATACGGTCAAAAGTATTCTGTAAAACATAAAAAAATTATATTTTTGAAAAAAGAGAAAACAGCCAATTAATTAATTAATTTTAAACGTAAATAAAGTCTATACGTTAAGCAAAAAAATAATACAATCCATTAAAAAAATATATAATATAATGTATATGTATAATAAACAAATTTATTGTTTTTATTACAAAATAAAATATAGTTTATGTAAAATGTTTTTGTAATCTGAAAAACTTCTCTCCACGTCAACACTCATTATAGGCACAAATTTTACTAATAGGCATATAATAATATTATTTAAAAAAATAAAATTTGATTTAACTCAACACTTTATCGATGTAATATTATAATATCTTTAGCTTAGCTAGGATTTATTTATTTAATACTTATTCAAATGGAAACTTTATTGTTTGGTTAGTTACCATTGCCAGTGCCGTACTGGATTTAAAAAATTACCGATAACTGACAATACATAATATGCCAATATAAACATAATAAGAATTTACTTTTCCTTCTGAAGACCTTGGTAGGTAAAACATGTGGCTTTTCAATTTTAGTTTCCAGCATGAAAACTTGTTAAATTTCACTTACTACTTTACAACTTTAACTCATAGATGCCTCCACTGAAAAATTAAACTTAAAAAGAAAACTTAAAGATCAAAATGTATATACATTTTGTTTTATTAATTAAACTTTTAAATTAACAAATAGGTGATTTATTTAGAGGTACTTTGGATACAGTGGATTTTCTTCAAGCTTTTAAGGAGTTCAAAGACGGTGAAACCGTGACAATTCGGAAGATCAGCCGGCATGAATTGTTGCACAAGTTAAATTTTATAAGCTTTTAAACTAAGATCGTTACGTAAAATACGCCAAGTCATTGCATACGACAAGCCAAGCTGTTGAGGACGGCGCCGAATTGATTCATCACGGTCATCGCGTACACTTTGAACTACCGCCGCTATATTTTCTTCACTACGTGCTGAAAATAGACCATTTTGGTCGTTTATTATCCAATAATGAAAAATAAGTGGGTTTTAAATTTTTAAATGGTACAATAAATTGTGCGTTCGGTAGGCCGATTATGTGGCTCATAAGTTGCTCTAAGCGCACGAAATACATTCCTTGCAGAACGATGATTTTCTAATACAGCTGAATAATTTGTAGGCGCTGTTCTTGGTCTTTTCATGATGAAATGTCAAATAATATTGAACAAAAATACCAAGACAGTTTGACTAACTTACCCTTCATCTGTCATAAAATGCCTATTGGAAAAAGTACCTCTAAATGGTTGCTCTTGTGTCCAAATACAGCAATTTTGTTTATTGATGTACGCATTATGCCAGAAATATATAAAAGGTTTAAATAAGCATATAAATAAAGGTTTAAATATGCATACAAATTTTAATAAGGCAAAAAAGCATGAAAAAATAACGCCCTTTTAATTTTTTTGTAAAACTTATTTTTTTTGTTTAATTAACGTATATTTACGTACAAGCATAATGCCTTGAAATCCGGGCTAATAACATTTAAAGTATGGTATCGACAAGAAGCACTTAACTTGTAATTTTGTAAACCTTAATATTTTAATAATTTCAATAATTAAATACTCAAGCAGAAATTTAGCTCTGTAAATCAGAAACGGTTATTTATCCCTATCATAAAAACTCGGGGATGTCTTGTTCCCCTGATGAATTGAATGATTTAATGAAATGTATTGCATTGCAAATTGCCGGCTGTTATAAATACCTGGGCCATTATTTTGAATAGCTCGCGCCCATTAAAGCGAGAAACTGGAGTAGCTGAAAACCAGCGGCAAGCTACCTGCTTGAGAGAGAAACCTGCTAGCAGTTATTTAGGTCACACTACATGTGTATGTAAGGGTGTTCGCTACTTGTTGTGCAGATAAAACCGTTAGCTGATTTACTTTCAGGAACCGCAAATTGAAGCTAAAATTTTAGAATTCAACGTCGAGAGACACTACTAGAGGTACCCAGTACAAATTACTTCTCTATTTTACTTGCACTATTTATTTTAATTAAAGTTAATTAGGTATAGTTAATTTGTTAATCTTTTAAAGTTATTATATAAAATTTATATTTTTTTCGTAATCAAGTGGAATAGTATATTCTGTGAAAAGTTTTTCACACGAGCCGAAGGCGAGTTTGACGGTTTCACAAAAGCGAAATATGCAATTCCAAATGTTTTTTAGACTATACCTTTATACGTTTCCAAAAAATACCATAGAAAAATAATTTAATTGGGAAAAAGTGAGGTTGGATCGGTCTAAATTTATTAGATATTAAACACAGAGATATCGCCACCAGTGTTTATTCCGTCATCCGATAATAGAAAAATTTATTCTGTAATACTTTCAGGAATATATGTCATATAGGTATATGTCCATTAGAACCGTCATATTCCTTAATAGGAGTAGAAAATAGTATATTCTGTAACAAGTTTTGAATACAGCATATTCCGCTCAAGTGAAGAGTTTGTCACACGAGCCGAAGGCGAGTTTGACGGTTTCACGAGAGCGGAATATGCAATTCCAAACGTGTTTTAGACTATACTTTTTCTACGTTTCCAAAAAATACCATAGAAAAATAATTTAATTGGAAGAAAGTGAAGTTGGATCTTTCTAAAATTTGTTAGATATTAAAAACAGAGATGTCGCCACCAGTGTTTATTCTGTCATCCGATGATAGAATATTTTATTCTGTAACACTTTAGGGAATATATGTCATTCCAAAGATAAAAGTTATATATATATATATAA